TCAATTTTGCAGAATTTTCCAAGAAGTGCTCTGAGAGGTGGAAGGTACTTTTCTTTCGTGTCCTTCAAGGTAGTCTTAGTTGGATTTCATATGCAGGGGGTTACTCACTTCCAGAGTAGCCCCATGGCGCTGTTTTCTTCCTCTTGGACTCATCTTGCCTGTTCTTTGCAGACAATGTCTGGGAAAGAGAAGTCTAAATTTGATGAAATGGCAAAGGCAGACAAAGTGCGCTATGATCGGGAAATGAAGGATTATGGACCAGCTAAGGGAGGCAAGAAGAAGAAAGACCCTAATGCCCCCAAAAGGCCACCGTAAGTGACTGTAGGATTCAGGATAACAGTTAAGAGCTTTCCTTCTACCTGAAAGATTTTAAGAAGACACATTACCTAAAAAATGTTGAGATACACTGCAAAGTATTCCATACTTGAGGCTTTAACAAGGCTGGGCCAGGGAAGTCCGCCGTTAAGGCTGAGTATTTGTGAGCTGTGTGCTTCTGGTTGCCTGTTGGCCTTTCTGTTGGGAAGGAGGCAGCCCGGTCTGGGCATCAGGGTCCTTAGGCATGTTTTCTCCCCTTTTCCCAGTAACTGAGAGACTGAGAAAGCACCAGGTATTTTTGAAGCATTTTAAACCTTCTGGAAGCTACCACTTGGTCACATTGTCTATATGGTATCACACATTAGGGGGGTGTCCAAGCGGTAGGAAGTATGTGAGCTCAGGAATGGGATTTTTGGCTTAAGCTCACGTTTTTGTGGGTTCTCATCTAACGTATACAATTTTCTCCCCCCAAGGTCTGGATTCTTCCTGTTCTGTTCAGAATTCCGCCCCAAGATCAAATCTACAAACCCTGGTATCTCCATTGGAGATGTGGCAAAGAAACTGGGCGAGATGTGGAATAACTTAAGTGACAGTGAAAAGCAGCCTTACAACAACAAGGCAGCGAAGCTGAAGGAGAAGTATGAGAAGGTGAGGCGGACCAGCTGTCCCCGGGCTACCAGGCTGGACGGGTGGGCAGTCAGCCGCCCTGGGTGTGGGTGGGTGGGGGGTGTGAGGTTGCTTCCGTGGGCTGAGTAGTTAGCATAGCTCGTGACGGACCGTCTCCCTGCAAGATCAGCCGCGAGTGCTGGCATTCATGCTTCTGACAGAATCTGGTCTTTGGGACAACTGCAGGCAGGCTTAAAAATTTTGATGACATGGGCCGCCGTGGGCGGAGGACTTGGTAGTGCTGTTGAACACCCCTTAACTTTTAAATCTGAGCGCCTTAGAACCAAATTTGTATATATCTGAAAACCTACTTCAGATAGCTGCCCTGTCGTATGTGTTGTCTATTCCTGCTTTCTTACTCTGAGGTGGGACGGCATGTTTCCATCATTGCCTAAAACGGCTGCGGGAGAGCTTGTCTGTTCATTTGGAATGTGTCCCTGTTCCTTCCAGGATGTCGCTGACTATAAGTCTAAAGGAAAGTTTGATGGCGCAAAGGGTCCTGCAAAAGTTGCCCGGAAAAAGGTGGAAGAGGAAGATGAAGAAGATGAGGAAGAAGAAGAGGAGGAGGAGGAGGAGGAGGAGGATGAATAAAAAAAACTGTTTATCTGTCTCCTTGTGAATACCTTAGAGTAGGGAGCGCCGTCATTGACACCTCTCTTATTTGAGGCGTGTCTGTTGCCCTCGTTAGGTTTAATTACACAAT